CCGCGCCTCGCTCAGCCAGTGAGCGGGAACCGGTCTGTATGTGGGATCCGAACCCTCGGGCGGGAGCGCTGCCGCGCTTCCCAAGCGGCGCACTATCCAGTGCACCACCGGGCCGGCCCCTAAATTATATTTTTTAATAATATTTTTATGATATTTTTTCAGACTTGAAGAATAATGAATATACATTTTAGAAATTTCGGAATATATACATAAAGTTATAAAAAAACACATTATTTTCCATCTTGTATGTATTTTTTTCTAGTACTTTCTCTTCTCATATGTCAATTTTTTCAAAGGTCTTTTTTTTTCTGAATTTGCATAGTATTTACAGTTTTGCAACCTACCTTTTTTTAGTCAAAATCATACTGTTGAACTTTCACATATAATTGAATATTCTTTGAAAATAGATTTTTTTTTGAAAATCTGTCTAAAATTTATTTGGGGATGAGCTGTATTACTCTCTATTTATCCCCAAGCCAGAGATTTAACAACCCTTTCTTCCCAGGTTGATGTCTGCTTTATCTTTCTAGCACATTCTTATCTAGCATTGTTCTATTTCTAGGTTCTGTGTGCTGTTATGGATCCAGAGCATTGCACCTGTAACGGGCTCTTCTCTCTTTTTGAGTCATCAGGGCTTCCTGGGTTGAGCCATAGTCCAGGCCTACAGAAGTACCTACTCATCTTGTTAATGTTTAGCCCTGCCTCTGCTGGAAAACAGCTCTCATATCCTCTCTCTCTTTTTTTCCTTTGCAGATGTTTTTTGATCATCCTGAGAAAAATGAGCCTTGGCCTCCAGACGCAGTTAAACGAACCTCACTCCTGGATAATATCACTAGTTCCTGAGGACCCAGAGGACCTGCAGCCCCAGGGGGATTAGCCAGAAGCAGGTAAGGAACACCTAGAGGCATGGACTAGCAAAGGCGTACATTTCTGAATAAAAACTTGTGTGGTAAAGTGTGTTGGCCAGGAGTCTTAGTGTCTCAATGCCTGGCTACAGCTTTGCTGTTTTATTTATGCATTTTTAACTGCTGATTCAGTGAGGGTTGAGAGGATGGGGATAGGTAGCTTGCCCATTTCTATAAGCTATAAATATAAGACTTGAGTTATTTTGTAATTCAGTCAACCTTTTCTGAGCACCTGCTATGTACCAAGTCCTGCCTTTGATACTGAGTATGTTGTGATGAGTAAGTAAATCAGGACAGGGTTTCTTATTTTGAAATTTTTTCTGCTGGTTCAGTGTTGGTTTGGTCTCTGTAGGTGATCATGCAGATTATTACTATGTTCTCCTTCTAGAAGCCTCATGGTGGTTGTAAGGAGTCATTGATACAGTTGCATCAGTTCAATAATCCTTTATTGAGTACCCACTCTATTCCAGGCACTGTGCTGGGTCCTGGGGTTTCAGAAATGATCCCAGGAGGAGTACTGCTCTAGCAGCTGAGTCGGGCATAAAAAGCAAGCATTACAAAGCACTGGTCATGAGCAGCAGGAAGCAGGGATAGTGCTGAAGGGGAGGTGAGCTCCATAGACTGCAGAGAGGTGTTGCTGTCAGAATTGACATGCAGATGGACAAGGAGGGAGAATGTGGTTGTGCAAACTCCTGGAGTCCTGAGAAATCAGTCTGGTGTGATTGGAAAATTCAAAATTTGGTGTGATTTTTTTCAAAGAATTTGTGGAGAAAAGTTTGCTATTCTTGTCTCTTAGTTGGGCTGTTTAGATGAAACTTCTTCAGTCTTCGTCCTGATAGAACAGCTTGAGTGATGAGAAAGGGTCTTGCAGCTCTAAGTGCCTGTGACCAGAAACTCCAGCCAGCTAGTGGACTTGACACCTCAACTGCTGGTGGTGTTGAGGGACCACATGAGCCCTGATGGGAGGTTACAGATGGAGTGCTGAGGCCATGATAGAGCACAGGCTGTGAAGGCTGAGGCCATTTGAGGGTTGCACACTGTCCTTGGGCTGCGTGTTTGGGGAGCTCTTCTTTCCTGAGAAACCCTTCTTTGGAGAGTAGGTGCTGTCAGGAAGCCCATTGCCCCCTCTGAGCCTCAGCTCCTGGGAAAGTGGATCATGCTCCTCCCAGCTGTCTCCTTTCACTCAGACATGTGAAAGTCGAGTTCCAAGTCCACCATTTCCAAATCACTCATGGAACTCTGAAAATTTCTTATTCTTCCAAAACCTCATTTCCTGTCTCCTTTCACTCAGACATGTGAAAGTCGAGTTCCAAGTCCACCATTTCCAAATCACTCCTGGAACTCTGAAAATTTCTTATTCTTCCAAAACCTCATTTCTTCAGCTATAAATGGTGCTTATAAAATCTTCTCTGCTCATCTCATAAGATTGTACTGGGTCTCATAAAACCTAATTAATGTGGATCCCCACAGTGGCAAAACAGTACACTTGAGTCATGGCTGGCACGACACTGATGGAGAAGATGGCTTTTAAGCGATTGTCTGACAGATCAAGTTGCCTCTCGAGAGACCCTTATTTCTGAGTCTTATTTGGTGAACAATGACTTTTCTTTGCCCTTTATCACAGATGCCTGTTCTTTAGGGAAAGACCATGATCTTTTAGAGTCAGACAGGCCTGGGTTGGAATCCTTGTTCTAGCACTGATTAGCTGTTGACGTTGGAGAAATCTTATAACCTTGCTAAGCCTCAGTTTCTTCATTTTCTAAAACAGAGTTGTCAATATCTATTCCACATTGTGTGGTAAAGATTCAATGAAATATTGCAGGTAAAGTGCCTACCATGTAGTAGACCCTCCTTAAATGCCACTTTTCTCCTCCAGTTCTTCAGCTGTCATATGGTCATGTGATTAGCTATGTTTTGTGCTGAGGAAATTGATTCCTTAGTTTTCTGATGTTTTACAAATTTAGTTTACAAGCCCCCCACCTCCTCCTTTATGATCTTGTATCTGAATTCTCTTTCTTCTGTGTAAATTTCTATTTTTCTAAAATTTCAGCAGCCTAAGGTAAGAATCCATCCTCTGGGCCACTGGTTCCTATGGTTTGGGATAGTGGGAAGTACTGCTTTGGTTGGCACTGCCAGAGGATTCCAAGAACAATGTGGATTTCAGTTAATGGAAGAGTCTCAGATGAAGAGCCTGAAGTCAGGCTGATAAGTTGTGGCCAGTGCTGCACTCTGCCACCTTCCATCGTCCCACGTTACCTCCACGTGGCCCTCATGCTGAGGGGCTGCTCCCCGTCTCTGTTCAGAATGCCTCCTGTGCCTTTGTGCTTACTTAGTTCAAAGCCCGTTAGCACATCCTCTTGTCTGTCGTTCCAGTACTCCCTGAATGAGATAGGGCAGAGTTATTAAATGACTTGCCCAAGTCACCAGGAATGGGGGCAAAAACTCAGGTTTCATGAGTACCCCGTCCAGTACTCCTACTACCTTATCCTTAATGTCATTAGGAGCAGGCTCCATGGGAAGGGAATTCAGACCCCTCATGGGTTAGCAAATCCCAGGGACAATAGTTCCGACTCATTACAGTAAATAAACCCAGCGAATGAGGAGAGAATTTAATGTTTTTCAAAAGATACAGACATTATTTGAGTTCAAAGTGCTTTCATGTTCCCTTTAGTTACACAATAAATCTGAGAAAACAAAGTAGGTCTTTACCCAAATATAAAGGAGACTATTCAGACTCTATTTGCTTAGTGAAATCCATTTCCCAGAACTTTCAGCAACTCTGTGCACAGTGTAGTGGAAAGGACATGGGTTAGGGAATCGAGGGCACGTGGATTTGAAGTGCAGTACAGCCACTTTCTCAGCTCTGTGATCGGGGCACTTCCTTAACCTTTCAGAGCTTCAGGTTGGTAATTTATAAAAATGGAGATTATAACACCTTTATAGCTAGGGATGGTCAGGGCCCCTCTGCACAGCTCAGGAGATGCCCTTCATATTAGACTGTAATATGCATGGCGCCCCCTGGAGTTGTGCATCACAGTAGCCCTGTTTGGTGAAATTAAACACAGTAACATCTCGTGTGCTTAATGAATTTTTATTTTCATTTCCTTAATTGACACATATCTGTAAACTCATCAAGATTTCCTATCCTCTGTCCTGAGGTGAGCCAGCTTCCTGTCTTAGTAGAGCTCTTCTTGTGGGGCACTGCACAAAACTGGATGTCATGTTGTGGAGCTAACCCTTGAGCTTCTTCTCAGGCAGGAGTCCAACATCACAGCCCTTAGAGAGAGGAAGCACAAATCTATGGCATCAGCTATGGCAAGAGGTTTATTTCTGGCTATTTGAAAATGATACCAGGACATTAGGATTTGAGAGCATTTGGGTTCTGTGATATAGACCTGTCAGCCTGCTTTTCCTTTTTTTCTATTTTTTTCAAGCATGCAGGCCTTCATTTAACAGTTGGAACAAGGCCGTAGGAACTGAACGATGTGTAAGATGTGGTTCCTGACCTCAAGAAGGTCGGACTGCAGTCAGGGAAGTAGACCATGGCTATCACACACTAAGATTCAGGGTGTAAAGAGAAATGGTGGAAGGACACATAAAGTGTTCGTGGCTCAGAGAGGAAGAAGGGAGTGTTCGAGGGAATGCTCTCTACGTTCAAAGCACAAACTGAGCCTGAATTTTTTTGAGTTGCTTAAGGTTGTGTAATAGGTGGGAGGAAGACCAGGGGTGGAATTCACATCTCCTCATTCTAAATCTGTTGTGCAGCCCATTACCCTCCCTCACGCCACTGTTGGATTTTCTTTACATCATTTTTCCCCCTTGTTCCACTTTTTTTAAGGCTTGTTTTCCTGCTCAGAACTGAGTGGCTTCCCTGAACACATCTTTCATTATGATTCTCACCAACCTGAAGAAAAAATTCAGCTACTGTGTCCTGGCCTTTCTCCTGTTTGCAGTCATCTGTGTGTGGAAGGAAAAGAAGAAAGGGAGTTACTATGATTCCCTTAAATTGCAAAGCAAGGGATTCCAGGTGCTGAAGAGTCTGGATAAACCGACCATGGGATCTGATACCCAGTCTATGTCCTCAAGGAACACCCAGGAAGCCCACAAGGGCAGCCAGGCCCCCCGCAGTCCCAGGGGCCCAGCCAGTGCCAAACCAAAGGCCTCCTTCCAGGTATGGGACAAGGACAGCTCTTCCAAAAACCTTATCCCCAGGCTGCAAAAGATCCGGAAGAATTATCTGAGTATGAACAAATACAATGTATCCTACAAAGGGCCAGGGCCAGGCATCAAGTTCAGTGCAGAGGCCCTGCGCTGCCACCTCCGGGACCACGTGAATGTGTCCATGGTAGAGTCCACAGATTTTCCCTTCAATACCTCCGAATGGGAAGGTTACCTGCCCAAGGAGAACATTAGGACCAAGGCTGGGCCATGGGGCAGGTGTGCTGTTGTCTCTTCAGCAGGATCTCTGAAGTCCTCCCAACTGGGCCGAGAAATAGGTACGTTCTGGGATATTAAGGTTGTTCTCTGAACAGCCAGTGCTCCTTAGGAGTGGCTGGATAAGGGCCCAAGTGTGGCTTGGTGGACCAGTGGAGCTGGCCCAGGGCATTGTTTTCCATTGTCTTTCTCAGAATCAGAGGTGCCGTGGGGACAGCTGGAAGGATGGGGATCCAGGCCGCCGGCATCTTTATAGTTAGAATAGCTTAATTTTTTTCTGTTTTAAGTCTTGGTGCTTTGCAGAAGATTTCATATGAAAAGGGAGTTCCACCACTACCAATAAGCAAAAAACTACAATTTACCTTTGAAAATATTTGAAGCATAGATCTCTACTTCATTTTCAGGTTCTGAAATTCTGTTGTTTTGCCTGATTAATGGAGGACTCTTTGGGCCTCCGCTACCTGGGTAACTCAGCTTTCCTCTTTGAAAGGAATTAGTTAGGGTAGAAATTCTGAACTTGGAGGCTGTGGACCAATCAGGGGGTTGCATGCAAAAATGTATCTGGATTAGGTGTGTATAATGTGTGTGTATGTGTGTAAGTCTGTCTGTGCATTTTTCCAGGGAGAAAGTTCATAGCTTACAGTTAATTCTCAGAGGGCTCCGTGACCCAAAAAAGGTTTAAGAGTCACTGATCAAAATATATAAATTTGCTTTTCTTTTTTTCTTTTTCCTTTTTGTCTTTTTTACTGACCAGTAATGGGATTGCAACCCTCGGTGTTGCGCCCGCACCGCGCTCAGCCAGTGAGCGGGAACCGGTCTCCACATGGGATCTGAACCCTTGGCGGGAGCGCCACCAGTGCGCCACTGGGCCGGCCCTAAATTTGCTTTTCTTGAAACCCTTTGCAGTTAATAAAGACAGAAAGTCTATCCATATTTGTAAACCTGTGCAACAGAGAGCTGCAGATTTGCTTAAGGCCCCTAGTTCCCTTTTCCTGAGAGAATGTGTTTTCCATTATTATGAAATGAATCAGACTAAAGAAAGCAAAGCACAGGAAGCCTTGCTGTTCTGTCAGGCTGGAGGTACTGGAGCAGGTGAGGTCATATGTCTCCTTTTTTATTTCCTTTATGTGACTGCCAGGAAAAATGGTCTGAAACCAAGCACAGCCTCTCAAAGAAGAAAAGTAGACCCAAATTGGATGCTCTAGAGCAGAAAGAAGTGGTGAGATCACATTTTCTACCTCTGCAAATAGGCGGTACTTACTAATAAAAGTTGCCAAGATGACCAGCCCTACCCCAACTTTTACTTTTGCCTTTTTGGTTTCTTTTAGACTTCGTTTTCTAGAAACTAAATGGGATTAGTTTTCATTCATCCATAACGAACTAAATTCTACCCCTACCCCACATTTTTGCTGCATAATGGCAATGTTTAGGTTATCCTGGGTGTTGGCTGATCCTGGTTCTTCATGTTGACTTATCATTGTGTGCCTGGTTGAAATTGTGTTGAAGATTGAGGCAGAGCCTGATACCTTTGTGAGTTGGAGCTACAACTTTATTTTTATGCACTCTTTACAAGTTTGAAGTGACTTAAATAAACACTAATTAAAGTAATCTTTTTCTGTAGATTTCAGTTGCAACTTCAAATAAGTATTTATGGAAGGACTTTGATCCTGAGATATAATAAAAGTTGCATGTTAGACTTTAAATGTTCTTTCTTTTATAGGGTATATCTTCTGGGCATTTAGTCAAACAAATACTTTAAGGTATTCATTCATTCTTTGTAAATTCATTCATGGATTCATCAACAATACAAAATAGGAGCTTAGAAAGCAAGGGGGAAAGGGAAGGGAAAGGCTCTTTGTTGAAGCCTCTGGGTTCCAGGCAGCATGCCAGGTCCATAGACTGCCCACGACATCTGGAATTAGTTGAGCCTGTTCCCGACTACTGAATGTATCAGATGATTTCAAATTGTTTGCTTTTACAAATGGTATTGCTAATAAGGTTTTCGTGCAGATAATTTGAGTGACTGCTACTGACCTCCAGCGGGGAAATATCCTCAGGAATGGGGCTAGAAGATCAGAGTAAGATAAGTTTTATGGCTATTTTTTTGTCCATTGCAAGGTTGTTTACCAGAGAGATGGTAATGATGTACTGTGCCTCCAGCAGTCCCACAAACTAGACAATGGTGGGCTCAGTAACTTTCAATTATTTTTGATAGTTTACTTATACATGTAAAGTATCTTAGATTCGTTAGAATTTTCATTTCAAACAATGGCATATTTTTAAGACACTATCAGTAGGAGTAGTGCTTATTGTGCACTTGCTGTGTGCCTAATGGGCCTTGCTGTTTGAATCCTCCCAGCAGGCCTATGAGGTGGGTGAGATTATCTTTCTCATTTTGTGGACGAGCTCACTATGGAGGCTGAAGAGGTTACACACTGGGTAATAGCAGACTGGGGTTTGAAAGAGGGTTGTGTGACTCAAAGACCCCCACACTTAGCTCCCCTAATCTTGTGCCTTATAATGATAGTAGCTTTTTAATAAAATTTGGTATGATTAATCCAAATCAGGTTAAAAAAAATCCCGTGATATTCCTTTTTTTTTTTTTTTAAAGTTTTCCCTTGATGTTCTTGTTGACTTGCTCTTGAAGAGGAAAGGAGAAGAACATTCTGAATTGAGGCAAAGGCAAGAAGCAAAGCTGCATGTGGAAAGGTGCAGAGTATGCATGGACATCACGAATAATCCCATCTGGCTGGGATGTGGGCCAGAAGTGTAGACAGGGGTCAGCTCTTAGAGAANTTTTTTTTTTTTTTTAAAGTTTTCCCTTGATGTTCTTGTTGACTTGCTCTTGAAGAGGAAAGGAGAAGAACATTCTGAATTGAGGCAAAGGCAAGAAGCAAAGCTGCATGTGGAAAGGTGCAGAGTATGCATGGACATCACGAATAATCCCATCTGGCTGGGATGTGGGCCAGAAGTGTAGACAGGGGTCAGCTCTTAGAGAATGATGAAAGTCACAATAAGGACTTTGGGTTTTATTCTTTAAACCATGGAGAGTCCTAGAAGGTTTTTGAGTAAGGGAGCAACGGGCTTGTGTGTTTTGGGGAGATTTCACATTTCTTGATGAGTCCTCTTCTTTATGGGGACAACTACCTAATCTCTCCATTATTAGAGACTATTGCTACATCCAACAAGAAGTGCCAAGCCTATGCCGGCAGTGGTAGTGGTAGTGGAGAGAAAGGGCCTAATCTGAGAGGCATCATGAGGAAGAAGAGACAGAACTTAGTGTCTAATTAGAAATGACCTTAAGTGAGAGGGAGGAGCTGGAGGTTCTAGCCTGGGAGTAGGCTATATCTTATTGTAGGGGAGAATGCTTCTGAAGGAAGGCAGACCGCATTTCACATGTGCTGAGTCTGAAGTGTTTGTGGATTTCCCTGGGTAGGTATCCATGCAGCTGGGTATTTGTTTCAGGAGAAGGGTCAGGTCTGGAGATCAGATTTAGGAGTCA